ACAAGACATCTCCCTCAGGCCTCACACTCCAAGAACTCCCAATCCCCGGCACAGACATCAAATTATGGTGTGACGTATCCTGTGGGCAGCCTAGACCGTTCATGCCTCACGTCCACCGCCGCGCTGTTTTCGACCGCATCCATGGTCTCAGCCACCCGGATGTGCGGGCCTCCCAGCGCTTCCTCACGCAACGCTTCGTCTGGCCCGGCATCAAGACCGATACTAAGAAATGGGCTGCCCAGTGCCTGGCCTGTCAGTCCTCCAAAATACACCGTCACACAAGGGTCCCTTTAGAAACCTTCCCTATTCCCAAAGGACGTTTTCAAGTAATGCACCTCGACGTAGTGGGACCGCTTCCATCATCCTGAGGTAGCACCTACATCTTCACCTGCATCGACCGTTTCACCAGGTGGACAGAAGCCATCCCCATACCCAATGCTACAGCAGAGTCTGCCGTCCGCGCCTTTATGTCCGGTTGGGTTTCCTGCTTTGGCCCCCCCCGGCTACCGTCATGACTGACCGAGGAGCCCAGTTTGAGTCATAACTTTGGCACAGCCTCCTACAGTTCCTCGGCACGACTAGGCAAACCAGCACTACATACCACCCTCAATCCAACGGCATGGTAGAGCGGTTTCACCGGCAGCTGAAGGACACACTCAAGGCACAGCACGACCCTTACAGCTGGACAGATGCGCTACCCTTAGTGCTCCTCGGCATCCGTGCTTCACACAAGGAGGATATGAACTGTAGCCCAGCAGATCTCACCCTAGGCGAGCCCCTTCGCCTACCCGGGGATTTCTCACTCCCTCCTGACCTCCACCAAACCACTCCTGCCGTTCGTCACGACTTACTCCAAAAGCTATGACAAGCAGTTTCTGCATTCAGAGCTACTGCTCCAAGCCAGCCTCCTTGGCGCAATGAACACATCCCTCCTGCACTACTCACGGCCGAGTATGTTTTCGTCAGGCATGATGCTCACCGCAAACCCACTACAACGCCCCTACGATGGACCCTTCCAGGTTGTTACCCGTTCAGCGAAGTTCCTGACGATTATCAGGAATGGCAGACACGACACCGTCAGCATAGACCGAGTCAAGCCGGCCACCTTACCCGTTAAGCCCCCTACCCAGCAGCACTACCAACAAACTACGCCTGCACCAGTCTACCCGCAGTTGCCACCGGCAGCAACACTCCGCCCACGACATTTCTGGGCACCCTCTTTTCACCCTCAGGTACCCCCTGCTCCTGTCCTGGACCCTGCTGCCGTAGTAGAACCTACTCCTATCATAGACCCTCCTCCTGTCGTGAACCCTGCTGCTGTCATAGAACCTGCTCCTGTCATGGACCCTCCTCCTGACATCGCCCCTGATCCAGTCAACCCAGCCAGTGCCCCTGAGGACGCTGCCCCAGCCACGATAGAAGCACAACAACCATTGCCTGTACAACCTTCGCTAATCCACAACCATCCTTCTCCCCCTGATTCTCCCACAGGTTCTGTTTACTGGACGGAGTCGTCACCCGTAGCGGCCGAGTCGTCCACACCCCTGCCCGTTATGTCTCATATGTGAGATACAACCCTGGTGACAACAAGTCTCCTGCAGCGCCCGGAGGGAAGGGGGAGTATTGCAGTGGACCTCTCCCCTACAACTGCGTATCCGCATTCCAATGCGACAGTATCCTAGCAACCAGCGAGCTGCTCGGGGGGGGTCGTCACCTGCTACGTCTATCCTAGCAACGGAGTCAAGCAACAGGCGAGTTCCCACGGGTTTACTTCCGGCTGCTGTGTATATAAGCTAGCAGTCTCTCCATTGAGATTCATTCTGCCCTACGTTCCTGAACAATCAACACCTCCTCCAAGCAAGCTCCTCGCTGTCCTCCAGCTCTCATTCAACCTGGAGCACAGCAACACGCAACATATCCTCTAACGAAGCTCCTGCACAGATACCTCCTAAAGCACGCTACTCACCGAACGTGTCTTCTGAGCAAGCTCCTCACTACACGGCATCTCCAGCACCAGACTGTCTTGTATATAATATATTTTATATAAGAAAACCACCACCTAGAGTTTCCATCCATCCATCCTGAGTGCAAGACAACATAATGTCACGAAACCCTACAAGCGGACCCTCCCCCCCCCAAAAAAAACCCCAGTTAGGTGGGCTCTCTGCGCTCGCCATGTTACCCCAACCCATAATTTCTTGGACCCCCCCTTTTGATATTCCTACATCCGCCCCTGGTATAACTATGAGATAAAATAAACTGGGGTGTCTAATCTTCAGGTGAAATACACTGGGGTGTCTAATCTTCAGGTGAAATAAACTGGGGTGTCTAATCTTCAGGTGAAATAAACTGGGGTGTCTAATCTTCAGGTGAAATAAACTGGGGTGTCTAATCTTCAGGTGAAATAAACTGGTGTCTAATCTTGTAAATAAACGGGGTGTCTAATCTTCAGGTGAAATAAACTGGGGTGTCTAATCTTCAGGTGAAATAAACTGGGTGTCTAATCTTCAGGTGAAATAAACTGGGGTGTCTAATCTTAGGTGAAATAAACTTGGGTGTCTAATCTTCAGGTGAAATAAACTGGGGTGTCTAATCTTCAGGTGAAATAAAAACTTGGGGTGTCTAATCTTCAGGTGAAATAAACTGGGGTGTCTAATCTTCAGGTGAAATAAACGGGGATGTCTAATCTTCAGGTGAAATAAACTGGGGTGTCTAATCTTCAGGTGAAATAAACGGGTGTCTAATCTTCAGGTGAATTGGGGTGTCTAATCTTCAGGTGAAATAAACTGGGGTGTCTAATCTTCAGGTGAAATAAACTGGGGTGTCTAATCTTCAGGTGAAATAAACTGGGGTGTCTAATCTTCAGGTGAAATAAACTGGGTGTCTAATCTTCAGGTGAAATAAACTGGGGTGTCTAATCTGGGTGAAATAAACTGGGGTGTCTAATCTTCAGGTGAAATAAACTGGGGTGTCTAATCTTCAGGTGAAATAAACTGGGGTGTCTAATCCTCAGGTGAAATAAACTGGGGTGTCTAATCTTCAGGTGAAATAAACTGGGGTGTCTAATCTTCAGGTGAAATAAACTGGGGTGTCTAATCTTCAGGTGAAATAAACTTGGGTGTCTAATCTTCAGGTGAAATAAACTGGGGTGTCTAATCTTCAGGTGAAATAAACTAGGGTGTCTAATAATTTTTTTTTTTACGGGAATTAGCCCACCCGGACACAGGCCACAACGGGGCCTGGGGGTCGAAAAAAAAAAGAACAGAAAGAAATTGAAAATAGAAAAGAAAAAGGTTATACTGTGTTTAATCTACACCACGAAGATGCCGGAAAACCAGCTTTTTAAAGTGAGACAGATTGTATAAGTATGGAAACACAGAAGAAGGCAGAGCATTCCACAGTTTGGCTGTGTGAGGAAAGAAGGAGGTACTATAACGGGTTATTCTCGTGTGCCCGACATCCACAGAGAAACGGTGGGCACTGCGGGCAAGACGTGTGTTACGAGCCCACGGCCTTGCCTGTGGTACACAGGATGCCAAATCCACCGAACATTGCCCGTTAAAGTACCTGTAAGAGAGAGAGAAGCAACATTGCGACTAAAGGAGGAGAGTTAGTCAGACGAAATGCCTTTGATTCCACCCTATCAAATAGTTGGACAGAAGAAGAGCCACCCCAGATATGAGAGCAGTACTCCAAGTTAGGACGAATGAATCCCTTATATACTTGGAGCAACTAACTGCTCAGGAGTGAAGTAGCTACGGCATCTGTACAGCATTCCCAACTTTCAGGAGGCAGCTTTAACTATTTTAACGATGTGTGATTTCCAGGACATATTGGAGGAAATGGTGAGGCCTAACATATTTATTTCAGAATTTGGTGAAATAAACTGGGGTGTCTAATCTTCAGGTGAAATAAACAGGAAGAAATATCATGTGATGGCAGGTAGTAATTTTATTCTTTTTCTTTTGTTTTTTTTAACTTCATTTTGTGTATCTTTCTGTGTTCATTAAATTTCACCTGAAAGTTTATTTTAGAGAACATAATTCCTACCCTGCATCCTATTATCAGTAAATTGTTTCATTAATTATTTTAAAGCATTATCATGATTTTCTCAACACTCAAATAATGTAGCAGTAGATTATATGCCACTTAAGAATTAACAAGTAAACCCAAACCTGACTTATCTAATATGCCCTAATCTTATCTAATCAAATCAAACCTAATCTAATGAAAACAAAACTGAATGAATCTAAGCTAATCAAACCTAACCTAATCATTAGGTTAGGTTAATCTTAAGGTGCAATAAACTAGAGGCTAATCTTCAGGTGATCAATAAAATTATCTTAATGCTAACTGCTTCTACAGGTAAAGGGTAATTAAGACTACTTCTCCTCCAAGTCTTCTAATATTCTTGTGACAGCTGTTTGGGTGTCACACTGATTGTTTTAATTAAGTTCTGGAACTCTTAAGTGGCAGGGCTTGACGTAAACACTTCTTGGCATTTTCTGTTATATTGTTGACTTGCAGGTAGTATATATACAGTATATAGACAGGTACAATCTGAGAGAATATATTGTGAATTCTCTCCAGGAAAGTGTTGTGAATAACACTGAGTTAAGTGCCCAGCTTCCCTGTCCTTTGGTAGTAAGTAAACTGCCACTACCTGGGTGAGCGAGAGTGAGCCGGTGTTTGCCATATCAGCTGACCCTGGTTTGACCCCTTGAGAGAGATACAAGCCAAGTGATCTAGTCATGAATAACTTGGTGTTATTCATTTGGGTGCATTTATATAAAGCAAAGGTGCTGTTACATTCTAAAACAGTGATAAAATATGTCAGGTGGAAAGTATTATCATAAAAAAGTATTTCTTCTACACAAATAAAAGAACCTCACATTAAAAGTCACCCTAATGATGTAACCCTTAATACCATATTTTTAACCACATAAGAAAAAAATTCCCCCCATAACTATGAACTGGGCCAGAGAAATAATAACAAAGAGTAAAAGTATAGTAATTTATTACTCACATATTTGTAACCATACATTAAGAATTACAAATATTGAAGGAAGTCCAGACAAAAGTCAGATGAACAGGAAGTGTTGCCTGTAATTCATACAACTAAACCGAACATTCGTACTCTTGAGTTGTGCTTATATTCACATTTGTGTCCTATAGTGCAAGTTGTAATTTTGTGACCTTGACAATTTTCACACAGGCAGTCTACCCACTACCTACTTTTAAAAAATAAAATAACTGATTACTGTAAATGTCATTTACTAATTGCAGAAAATTTTAATATATCTATTATGGATATTAAAAAAAAAATGCATAAAGTAATGAATATATTCAACCACTTTTTTAATTAGTGCCTTTTGCTGCCGACACAGTACAGTACAGTATATATAAAGTGATATCTCCGTTTGCAGGAACAATTGGTGCAGAGCTCCTTCAGGTAACGTAAAAATGTTCTTGGAAGTACTGTACCAGAAATTGCCCATTGCATCATTTCTCGAACACGGATCAATATCCCCCGTCCCCGGAATTTTCCGGTTTTCTCTGAATTTCTGGAAAATGTGCTCGATTTTCATATCTCAAACATTGGAAAAAATCCATTCCCAGAATTTTCCGGGTACTGGGAAAATTTTCACGGAAGTTTCCAGAAAATGAGCCCCTCGAAAAATCATTCCCAAAGCCGTAATTTTCCGGAAAATTTTGACTTTGGGAACAATTTTCCGAGAAAATTTCAAGTCTGGCTATCGGAGAGTTCCGGGTTTGAGGGATTCTGGCTAATGGAGATATTATTGTATATATATTATTCATCAGCAAAAATATCATTGGAATCAACTATGATACATTAATAAAATATGAGATGCAATTCCCATGGATGTGTCTAAACTGAGTTGTTAATCTTCAGCAAATGCTCAAGTGATGTATTTTAAAAAATAAAAATAAAATAGGATTCATAATAACTATGAAACCCTTCCACTGCACTCAAGTGGTGTCATTTTTACTGATTTCATCTGGTGATGTTATGTAAGAATATCAACAATTGTAAACTACAGTATATCTTTCACTGAAATACATACAGTATTTGAAACGTTATCTGTGATTGAGCCAAACAAACAAATGCTCTTGACACTTACGGTTTTCCATCAAGTGTATTTCATAGTTTATCAATAATGAAACGTTTTATGTATCAATCCAAAATCAACACCAAACCATAATACTGTACAGGTATACCGTATTTTATTTTAATTTCACTACCTTGTGCCATGAACATAAATCACTGAAATCCGAGATTATTTTTTTTATTCTAAATTCCAGTATATTTTGCACGGAAGTAAATTAACGTAAAATACCCGACTCACATTCACAGATCTCGTCTCCCATTCTACAACAGCTTTTATAAACCAAAGACCAAGAGACAGCATAACAAAACAATGGATGTACATATGAAAGACAATCATTATGGAAAATAGAACACTGCCTGTACTGTAATTTGCTTAATGGGAAAGCATCAAAGAATATCAAATACTCTCGTGAGAAAATAAAAACAACATGAGAATTGTTTTATGGGATGACAAAAGATACAAAGTAATAATTTGAAGATTACTAAAACAAATGTGTCTGGAGTGTATCAATAAATTCTACAGTGTTGCTAATTATGGACTATACTGGAAGAAACAGCACTGAGACCAACAGTACAGAAAATGGTACTGTAGTAACTTAGTGAAACTTACCAACATAGTGCTGGTGAGGAGCATGACTTTATTGCTGATGTCATCTGTTTTCATGTCTACATCAATCAACTATTTGATGTGGGACTCAGTATTCCATTATGCATGAATCAATACAGAAGAGAATATTGTACAGTGTAATTTTAGTAAATGGTTGGTTTGTTGAAAAATTTGGCAATAAATAAAGTACCGGTAATTGTAACATAATTGTATGCATACACAGGAGCCAAATATACAGTTAAATTATTCCAGTTGATATTATTCATAAGGTAACAGATGCTCCTTGTAATATACTGTACCACCATACCTATAGACTCAAGGAAAATAATCAACTATGAGCTTAATAACTTGTAAAAACAAAAAAAAATACCAATAAATGATAATGTCTGCCAGCCACTGTGTTTGAAGCATGTATAAAAATTAACAGCATCATCACAATATCTTAAATGAAAACTGGGATATATGAAAGGCCCAGTAGTTGATTAATCCTTGTATATTTTCGAGGTGAGAGTAATTTCCAGCATAAGATGACAGAAACACTGAGCTCGAAGGGTTTGTGGCCAGTACTAATATATTCCAGAACTTTTTTCTAGGCTACAGTCACTACAAATATTAAGGTACAAAGCAAATTAGGACAATCATCTAATGCTTTACATTTTGTACAAACATTACTACTTTGAGGGATATTTCATCTGGTTATATAAATGGAACGTTGCTTACTTATTATGCCACTTAACTGGACTGTTTCAAAAGCAGGATATCACTACCTAAAAGGCTTTCTTTCTCTAAGTTTACCTCTACGGCTCAACGTATCATATTAGGCCCGGCAAACTGACTTATTCTGAATGAGTAGGAGAGGCAGATATATACAAAACAGTGTTCAACAACAGCACTACAACATAAAGAACTTCAAGAGGCATGCCCTGGTGCCACCGTAGTGTGGGGGTCGAAGTAATACTACAGAAACAAGCCGTAAATGAAGACACTAGATCCAGTTTCTGATGCCAAATGCTCTAGAACAGAAAAATTCTTCAACTGTATGGAACCGCAAGTTTTCATAAATATGCTCCTGGACACGACTGAGCTCCTGTACAGTCTACAATCCAACAGTTCTGGCAGAGGGCAATATGAGGCTTTGTTTTACACTGTCCAACCATAATCCCACATATTGTACAATATACAGGTGTACACTCCACTGTGCCTGTAATTTTCATACACAGACGATGTATTAGCATAATGAGAAATATATATACCTTGTGAATATGTATTTTGGGAATGTTTAGAGCAAACATACATGTCTACTACACAACAGGTTTCTTGTGGTTTTCAATTTTATCTAATGCATATTCATTTGAAATTGATTTTGAGTATTACAATCAGAATCAAAAGCATCATCAATGATTTCTGCTCATGTATCTGCAGCATTAATACATACACAACAGCAGTATACTGTACATACTGAATGTGATTCTTGAATGTCACCAGATCCACAGTATAGTTCACATGTATATTTTCAACATACAGTTTCAAAACTTCAGAGTATGACTGATGCATTTTCAAAGCATCTCTCTGCTTCACACAAAAAGCACTGTTGCAGTGTCAAAACTGACATTTTTTACATTTCATTTAAATGAGATGTGGTCCTCCTCGGCATTATATTCCAACATAACCGAGAGTAAGCGAAGGTCCTTCTTCTTTAACTCTCTCATGTGGATTACTTTATCACTATTTGCTCGATTGATTGATTGATTGTGGTAATTACAGCCATGATGACGCAACAGCTTAGGTCATATGTTGCCGACTATTTGCTCAACGTTATTAACACTTGCCGAGAATCTTCGAGTCTCACTTCTCCTTCTGACGAGAAAATGTTGCAGACCAATTTCATACCAATACTGAATTATGGATTATAGCAATACTGTACCCTGTACTGAAATTCTGGACATCTTAAGAAGTTCATGAGAATTTAAGGGATATCTGGCATGTAGATCAAGTTTATGAAGAGGTTACTGGTGTAAAATTAATTACTGTATGTGAGCATAAGGTTATTATAATGTTAGGTTATAGTACATAGTGAGAAAACTTTAAAATTCATGGACAGGTAACCATGTAATCAAACTAGTAGAGATGACTGGTTGTTCTAAAGGGAGTATTCTGGTGATACTCTGATATCTAAATATACTGATAAGTCTACAGAGTAAGAATCTAGAGGGTTACAAAAATGTCTTAAGAATAGTGCTGAAAATAGTTTGAACTTGCTGAAAACTGTTATTTGATATTACAGAGATAGTTGAGGGCTACTGTGAGTTGCTGAAGATCATTTATTGGGAAGAAGAGAAAGAAGGTTCTTATTACAGTTGAGATGATGTGATGACCATCCAGGTGTACTCAAAGGCCGCAAATACTTAAAGCCTTGTACAGGTTAACAAAATCGTGATGAGTTTGGATCCTCCAAAATGGGAAATCAAGCTGAAAAAGAGAAGAATAAAGATCATCATCAGAATCAATTTAAGTGATGAGTATTTAATAAAAGAGCATAAACATTGTCTAGTTATGGCAGAAACAAAAAAATCTTCAACAACTTTGGTACCATACTGTTTATTTTTGCTTTATCATTACAGTATTTGGGTTTTGAGTGAAATGAGAGTACAAGGTATAATGATATCTCTGTTAGCCGGAACAAATTGGTGCAGAGCACTTCCGGGAATGAGAGATTTCCAGGTAACGAGACCACCCTCTCAAAGAAAGAAAAAATCCCCATCTCTGGAATTTCGTAACTGAAAAATGTTCTCGGAAGTTTCAGAAGTTGCACATTCCACCTTCTCTCGAACCAGTAAAAATATCCCTCATCCCTGGAATTTTCCAGGTAACGGAAAAATTTTCTTGGAATTTCCAGAAATTGCACTGATCCCCATCCCTGGAACTTTTCGGAATTTTCCGGGTATCGGGATAATTTTCTCTGAATTTTCCGGAAAATGTGCCCCTCGGAAAATCATTCCCAAAGCCGGAATTTTTCAGAAAATTCTGGGTTTGGGAATGATTTATCAAGAAAATTTCAATTCCGGATATCGGAGAGTTCCAGGTTTGAGGGAATCCGGCTAACAGAGATACTTTTTACTGTTTAGAAAGAGGTTCTGTTTTCTTGGTTAATTTAATATAATATAGAGTACAGTAAATACAGTACATTCATATAGAGCAGTGATGTAGTCCCGGCCACCAACGAGCCCAATCACAATTTTAGATTTTATAGATCACCTAAAAATTAGCTCCCAAAGTGCTCACTAGCCTCTAATTTAACCACCCCAAAACTACCCGAGAGATATATAATCTCCATGTGGTCCATAAAAACTAAAATTGCAAATGGTGTTGTAGATGATGTCGATTACATCACTAATATTCTGTATAGATAAGAAATTAAAAGTACTAGTAAGGTTATTATTGGCTTTCTAGATTCAAAACAAATGGATTGACAACTTTTTCTGGAAACTTAATTTTACAAATAACCTAATCAGTTTACTTAATTAATAAGTAACAGACTTTAATTTTGATGAAAAAAGTTTGCAAAAAAGAATTTTAGTTGACACAAGTTCTTTCACTTATAGTAAAGAAAATATGCTAATTCTATTTTAAGATTTTTGCTTCTACAGCTTATTTTATAATGTCAACAATGACAACAATAAACAATATAAGATGATATGTTTTTGACAAACTGGTGTCCAATCCCAGATACAGTACTGTCTACAGTATGTGTTCATGACCTTTCTTGGGTGGGTCCCATGCTAAGATGCCACTGTAGTGGACGTCTCCCCTACAAACTGCGTAGCAGCCCACCACCTGCTATCACATTCCAACGTGCCGTTGCCTAGCAACGAAACTATTCACCGGCGACTTTCTGGGTTTTCCCAACATGACTCATAGCGGCTGCTGCTGGGTATATAAGCTCTGTCTCTCCATTGAGATTCATTCTGACCATTCTTCTTGAACAAGCAACACCTCCTCCTCCGCCGCTGCCTGGCAGCCCCTCGCTTCTCCTCGCCTGCCTGGCGGTTCTCGCTCCCGCCAGCGAGCATGGCGACCCACCAGCCGTCCTCTGAGCTTCCTCACCAACCAACTCTCATTCTGCCCATTTTCCTGAACAAGCAACACCTCCTCCAGCAAGCTCCTAGCTGTTAACATTTATTCAACCAGGAGGCCAGCAACAGGCAACATCTTCTCTAACGAAGCTCCTGCACATCTACCTCCTACAACACGCTACTCACTGAACGTCTTCTACTGAGCAGCTCCCCACCACACGGCATCTCCAGCACCAGACTGTCTTCATATAACTTATATTATACAAGAAAACCACATTAGAGTTTCCATCCATCCTGAGTGCTAGACAACATTAATATCTCGATACCCCTACACCACTCACCACTGTTGACATGATGTGCGTATGACCAGAATGGACAAAGGATAGGGAAACCACATCTGTATCCCGAGAAAGACTCAGTTACTCAGAATGGAAGTGGTATATGGGCGGTAGATCACACAGAGGAAAACGTCAAAGGTCTTCATTTTTTTTTCTATTGTTTTCTCCATTCTGGTCATATGTGCCTCATATGTCAGTAGCAGCGACTTGGTGTGATCAGTCACTGACGGTGATGAAAACTGTGTAAAGACCTGACACTGGCACTGTTTGATTCCACACTACTCCAAACATTACTGAGCTGGATTATCAGGTGTGATCTGCTGATGCTAACACAGTCGTCATCACTTGTAGTTTACAACAGTATCACCATGTCAAACTTTCCTCATAATTAACAATTTATTTTCATTCAAACCATTTTGGCAACAGTTAAACTTACACTGAAAATCTTGTCCAAGTTTAATCCCTATTATTTTTACTTATTTTCTATCCTACTTATATCAGAGTCAATGGTAAATCCCAGACTTAGATGTAAAACAGCTAAATAATATTTAATAAACTATATTCAAATACAAAAATTATTTTTAACTGACTTGCTTGGCAGCCATCTCCTCATCTCTTCCATCGCCCACAACAACATACACCGGCTTCCGTCCAAATCGTGAAGCAATTCGTTCAAAACAACTCTCTTTTCCTGTTGAGAAAAGTTCATTTAATGTCATAAGTTTTATAGATCATAAAGTTATAAGAAATAATGCCGGATTGAAAAAAAAAACTGCTAGGAATGTGTTTATTTTTTTTCACAACGATTTTACAAGGATTCAGCATCATTATACGACAAGAGATGAGTATATTCAGTCGATTGTAGGCAGTGACTTTTTTTATTCTTGTTGTTCAAGATGAACTAAATGGTAGACCACTTCTGCTAAAGCACTTAAACGGAGTGACAACAGAAGATGGAAGAAGTTGTCCAGGTCATTCCAACACTCATTAAATATACTGTCATATATTGCACACCTATATGTATATGTCAAGAATTAGAGACAACCACTGCCAAGAGTGTTACAGCAATGACATTTTTTTTTTTTTTTTTAACGGGGATTAACCCTCCCGGACACAGGTAATTGACCCACATTGGGGCCTGGGGGGCAAAAATAATAATAATAATAATAATAATAAAAAAATAATAATAAACATAATAACCATAACCAAAATGAAAAAAAATATAATTCAAGAATGAGAAACGATATACAGAATGTATGTTGTTTTGTCAATATAGGAAGAGAAAAAATTGTAACCCTGCAAGTGTGTGTAAACGAGGCAGAAAGTCAGATCAGCAACCTGGGACTTGGTCAAAAATGTTTTGATGCCAGATGGCAGCAGGTTCTATCATTAGACAACACATTATGTATATGTATACTATAGATATTGGATGTATTATATGTACTAATACTGTACACATGTGTAGACATACATCAAAGCTCACTTACCAACTTTAGTTGCCGAATAGATATTCTCTATAGGGAAGACCGACCCTAGACCATATAGTAAGACCTTGGCTAGTGCCGGCACAAGCTGCGTGGTGGTAACTAGGACGTTAACACAGTTGGGTCTGGAGGCAATAAGCTGCAAACACTTCATGGATTCAGTCAGCCAACTATCAGTCAACGTCTCAATATCCTGGCGGACTCGATGCCATTTTTCCCTGTTTTCTGGATCCAACAAACCTTAAAAGAAATGTTTTCTTTTAATTTCTGATTATTGACAAATTTATTACTGAAAATATAAAGAAACTTGCAATATATTAATGTGTGTGTGTGTGTGTGTGTGATCAATACAGTGTATACATACGGTAAATCTCACAAGTATGTCGTCTCTGTGCAGTACTTTAAGAAGACATTTCAGAGGGAGTAACATGTACTGAAGTAAGAATAAGTGTACAGTACTGTAAACAGTACAGCATAGGGGAGTAAAGGTGGCATAATACCTGTCTGGTAGTGCATAGGTGTATAAAAACTATTACAGTGTGTGTGTGTGTGAACTTAACCCTCTTGCACATGATGACGCGATTCGCAAGTCGAGTCACAAAACTTTAAAAAAAATTGCCCCAAATCAAATTTTCAGCAGAATTGTCTCAAATTTTGATGCGTCATAGTAGCAATTAAGTTCTATCAAATAAACTAATTGGCAACTCTCGACTCTGTCTCGAGGCCTATAGGAGGAGAAGAGCGGAACGATAAATGTGCAGTATTATCACAGCAGTAGGACCCTGAGCCGTATTTGAATTTTCATAACTGCGGGCTGCCTCAACTCCTGGATTGCAGTGCTTACCCTATTACCTGAAATAATTTATTTTTAGTGTTAGTGTAGTGAAGTGATGGCTGTGTAATGTTATATTTTAAGGAATATTGCAGAAAACAACATCCACAGAATTCCAGAAATTCACTACGCTCAATCACTATAACTCTTTTCTATGATAATTTCCTTATATTACATTAGGTTAGGTTAGGTAACACATTCTTTTTTATCATATTCTTTGGTTGCTGTAATCTGAAATTTTACCTTTTTTCATATTTACAGGGAGTGTTTAGTTTTCAAAAGCCGGTACGGTATCGGGTTATACAACCTCGTCGTGACTGTCTCGAAAAGTCTCTGAAAGAGGATGATTTTCTAGACTAACATGAATTTTATCAGTACCATTCTCTTCGTTATAGTGTTGGCTACAAGATGCAATATAATTTATATTGATATAAAACATAGGCACAAAAATAATTTAAAAGGAAATAAAAATATGGTATTATTTTACTTTCGGACATAGCGCACCCAAAATTTATAAACTACCCTGTACTTAAACATTTAGATTTCCCTGTTCTGAGCATTTTGAACCCCATATATACATGGCGGAAATAGATAATAGTGACACAATTGAATTTAATCGATTTTAAGTAGTTTTTAGTCTTCGTCTGTGAGGTATTGTCAGTGCATCTCGCATGCGCAATGTTGACTGACGTCATCCAGTCGTGACCAATGAGGTATCGATATCACCACGCAAATTTTTTTCGACCAATCACATTTGATTTTTTATCAAAGGAAGCAGCCTTGGTACGATTTTAATTTCATTGACCAGTTTCACAATGGCCGTGGTGAAGATTGGTTGTCGTTTGTGCTTCCTACGTTTATTTTAAGTTTATTGCCGAGTTTTACGAGAAAGACGATTATTATATCCAATTTTTACTTATTCCCTGGTCCTTCCATTTCTAACTAAGGTATTGTACTTCCGGACATGGCGCGGCCCAAAGTTTTTAACTACTGAAACATTTAGGTTAGTTTAAGCTAGGTCTATCGGTAGGCCTAACCCCCAGCTAGGAGTTACCCGGTAGGTCAGAGGACTCGTTTTCGTTTTCTCCCCCACCCAAAAACCCTGATTTCTCAGGCTCTCCCCCATTATTGTTGGGGGACAAAAACGAGCTATTTCCACCAAAACTAAAGGTCAGATTCGTTTAAAACACACCAAAATACACTGGAAAAACATATTGGTCAACCCATTAGGGACTCATGCCCTAAATTAAAATTTACCAAAAATATTTTACCATTTGAGAATATTTTTTTGCTATTTTCTCATAAACTATTGGTCATATCAGAAATCTAATTACTGAGTTGGAAAGGTCATGAAATTACGCTTATAGCAGTGTATAGTACTTCACATTGGCTCAGACAATTTTAAGCTAGGAGGTTGTGAACATATTGGTGTGTATTTTTTTCTCATGTTTATAAGTGATGATAAATAGCTATATACTTGTATTATTTTTTGGCTTATGCTGCAGAGCAATCAGTTACGAAGGCAATAAAAACAAGTTTTGGGGAGGGAAATTGATAAAGCAAAAAAAAATATTCACCGTGTGCTGTCTCGCTATTTTAAACCCCAAATCTTAAACATGAGTAACCTTTTTTTCAAGAAGAATTTTATGTTGGTTTATGTTTATACAGTAGATGTATGTATGTATGTACTGTCTCGTTCAAGATTTTTTGAACACTGCTGGAGACAGCTGGCAACTCAAGGCCATTTGTTTACTATAGTACGTAGTATAATATAATACGAAACAGCAAAGCCCTACAATTAAATTAAGCAATGGGGACTAAGTAACCAATCATCGATCACTTTTACATTTATTCGTAATTTTTACTACGTACTATAGTAAACAAACGGCCTTGAGTTGTCAGCTGTCTCCAGCAGTGTTCAAAGAATCTTGAACGAGATTGTACATTACTGTATGAATTTTAACACAATAAAATCAGATGAAATTAAATATCAGAGATTGTATGACTTATATTTGTGTGGGTAAAATCCATATAGACTTGTTTATTATTATATAGTATTCCTTAGTATATTTTGTTCATAAATCATTATGAATGTATTATTAATTATTAACAAATACAGTTTAACTTTGCACTCCATTAAGTATTGAATGGTTTCAACAAAGGAAAACTCTTAAAAAAATAAAAAATAAAAAAATTCTACAGGATATGACATAATGGCTCACATGAAAATTTGGTGCCATTGATTATCTAGCCTGATGATTAAACACGTTGTGTTAAACAAACAAAACCCAAACTAACCTAATGCTAACCTATCATCAATGTTGAATGGCTATTTTCCACACTAACCTAACCCCTTTGGCATGATGACTTAAGACCTTCAATATAGCTTATCACCTTCTGTATGGCGCCTTAACACTGGTGCTGTACAGTACTCAGGGGGTTAAACTATCATACTCAAAGCTGTATACTTACTACCAGAATTGTTTCTGCAGCTGTTGAATAATTCCTTGATCTTCCGGTACCTGAAAGCAAGCTTCCTCATCCAGTCAACACCCCCTCGAACTCCTGTACCCAAGCATAAGGAGGCGTTACTGTTGGCTGCGCTGAAGCCGTCCGTTGCGAAGTTGTAATTGCTAAAAAAATAAATAAAATAAAATAAACACCTAAATAAAAACATTGGGTGAGTGGTGGCAAGATTAAAGAGATAATGTAGCAAATGAAATGTATCACAGAAGTTAATGGGATGCTAAGAGATGATTGGGATTACCTGAAGATGTCTCTCCCTATTATATCACTTGAATATTAACCGTCCTAATGCTACCTGGGGGATTAGGGTAAGGGGTAAGTTATGTTAGGGTAGGGTAAATTACGTCAGGGTAGGGTAAATTATGTTAGGGTAGGTTAAGTTATGTTTGGGGTAGGTTAAGTTATGTTCGCATGAGGATGGTTAATCATGAGGTGATTCGATGACTGATTCCTTCAAAATAAATTGTGAGAATGTGCAACTGCTTTATTAATTAAATTTCAGATGAAAGGTTGAACTCAAGTTTAAGGATACCACTGTACTGTGTTAAATGTGTGTGAGTTTATAACACCCCCCACCATTTAATATTAACAGCAAGACTGACCTTAGGTCTTGTCCATTGTCGTCAGATGATACGTCGTCTATATGGACCTGGTCACACTCCTGCAGGCAAGCCAAACATCAACACATTATACAAAACTTCTAAGAATACCATAAACTAACCTACCAACTCGTGTGGCAGGAATAAAAGTGAGTTATCTAAGGATGACTCCGTTGCATGCAGGGCGGCCGGCAGTGACCGGTAGAGTGGCCTGCAGGTTGGTCCGGCACTGCACTCATCGAGTGAAGGTGACACTCAACCACTTTCATTTCCCAACTGTATTAAGTACCCACCAAGCAGTGTTACCAGATTTGTTAGGAAAAAATAATTGATTTGCTACAAAATTGTGCTAAAAGTAGCATAATTATGCTAGACTTGTGCTTTTTTCACTAGCTCTTTAGTTCATGTTACTTTTTGTTGGAAAAAACGTGTTACATTATTACTGACACCGTTTTACTTAATCATATTTCAAATACATCATTAATAAAAAAGGGAATTCGACGGACATTACACTTTGGTAGCATAAACGCAAAATCAACGTAAAAAAATATACTAAAATTTCAAGTACACGATTTTTTCTTCCAATATTCATTTTAAAATTGGATATGCCTTGGTGACCATTTACAGCTAGGTGGACTGAGAATGGCCCGGATCGAACCAGCAACCCTTAGGGCGCTTAAGGCAAGAGACAACAACTGTGCCCACTCAAGAGGATTAATTACCATAAATAGTATTTAAGGCAAACATCTACTTTTATCCAATTTTGTTGCCATTTCTAATTTCTCTATAATCAAGATCACTATCATTCAAATAATCAAACTATCAGGTGTGTAATTAATGATGGCAGTTACCTCGCCACCGTTCAAATTACACGCACTGTACCCTGTTTCATTACTAAAGCAAAAACATCCATTTTATAAGTGAAAGTAAATTAAGCCGAGAGAAACTTACTTCCAAATCGTTGAAGAAGAAATGTGTATCTGCCAAGTCAAAGATCAACTTCTCCATGTGGTAGCCTAGCTGGACGGCATTAGCTGTGTCCTGAAATAAGAGCAAAATGAAGTGAGGTTTGCTTTTACAAGAGATACATACTCTTGAGAAGCTAAAACTGGGCCACGAGAGCCTCTCAACACAGTGATGACTAGTGAAGATATTGTGGCTCTGAAAGTACGTTATGAAATTTATAAATAACAAGTCTGTCTTATAATAATGAGACGTTTAGGAACTTAACTTTATGTTTGTGTTCAACTATAGGACTGAACTTAATATAGATAGTCTCAATTTTGAAATCCATCCCCAAAAATCAATGACATAACATGCCACCAAAAATATTTACAAAAGCGTCTGTTACATTGATCTCAACATACAGACAGGGGGGGGGAGGCATTATGGGGCCTTATATCCTCAATTGCCGGAGCCACTCCCAAACGTTGACATACATAACACAAGCTACACTTGCACAGACCACTTCATGTACGCTGTAAAAGGTCTTCGTTGTCTCAAGTTATTTTGTTCCGCCTTAAGATGTGAAGGTGACGTGGTTCTTGTATTGTCTTGATATTTGACTAAACAGAAGAATGAACGGTTGTACAAGGCTATAAGGATACCGACCTCAGTCAGTCTTGTTCCGATGCCTCTTATAGGAAGAATTATCGGGTCACCTGAAGTTTGGGTACCCCAGTTTAATCATCAGGTGAAATAAGCTGGAGTATCTTATCTTCGAGTGATCTACAGTTACTGTATAAAAAATTACCCCTACCAAGCTATATCTTGTCTTTCACACATAATCCTGTCATTCTTTCATTTCCCCTCGCCTTGCCCTCTGGCAGAGCGAGCTGGGTGGCAGGTGGCTCCATTCAGTCTAGGGGGGAGGGCAGGCAGGCGGACACCCCGGGTGCCAACCACTCATTTACCATCACTCACCTAACCTCACCTCGCACTTCTCTCAAAAGACGAACCTGAGTTATTTTCAGCAACGTATTTTTCAGTGTGAAATTATATAGTAAATTTTAACAGCATTGGCGTTGTTAAGAGAAAGAATAATATAAGGTAGGTACGGAGGAGATAAAAAATATACTTCGGGAAGGAGGGGAGAAAGGCACGAGGGGGGGAGAGGGGAAGAGGAGATGGGGGGGGGGGAGAGGTGGTGGAAGGAAGGTTAAGGAAGGGTACGCTCCATAAGCTAGGATTTACAAACGGTCTTATACTCATACTTGCAGTAATCGCGGCTCCAAAACTCATCAGTGTACTGTATCTCAGTACAGTTGGCTAAACGAAGTGTCCTGAATAATATTACAGCTTGACGGACGTTCGACTGGCTATCTTTAACGTCGGTAAGTCCACACAATACCCCCGATTCACCTCATCATCGGACAAGCCCAGATACCAATGATATGACGCACACACGAGATTTGTTTTGCTTCACAATACAGTGGAGGAGCAGTGAGAGTTATGTGGCAGGCAAACACGTTCACGTCACCAGTGAGTTGCAGTAAAGGTGGAGGTGACTTAACCCCGGGGGCGTATTGCTTACCTAACACGGCATTAATACTCATAGGAACTTAAGCTGTTGGGATTTTGTTAATATATATACGGTACATATGTCAGTAGCATTTGGTTGAGTGGGAAAATTGTCAAGTGGGTATTTTTTCCGGTGGGATCTCGTCCTTGCACCGCCTTAACCTAGCACGTTCGTCCCTCACCGCACCCCAACAAGACTCGCCTCTAATCTCTCCCAGATTTTCTAATTAGCGTTAAGTGGCTGCCTGGCGCCGTCTTGCTGCTGCCCAAGTTTAACTGATATTGTGATATTGTTACTTGAACCAAACTCTAGCTTACGCCTTCACTACTGAGCTTACGGTTAATGAATTATACAAGAGGAAGCACTGTGAACGTTCAGCAACCTGCTCGGTAACTCAAGCCAGCATTTGTGACCGATGATCACACCTTTAAATGTTCACAGATATATGATTCTTGGAAATGTATCACAGAGGCACATACTCCACTCATTCCTCTTACCATAATTATAATAGCTGCAGGAACTCTGGGTAAAGGCTCCTGTGGGTTCTGAACACCAATAGGGATCTAATACAGTAGATAACACAGAGGGTCTCAGTAATAAAGGAACACAAGATTACATCATTTTTATTTTTGCATCATAAACACATACTGAGATGCACTTGAAGCAATATTGTTCTGGAACATTGGGCTTTTAATTTAACACTACTAAGGACGAGAGAGAGAAAGAGATCTACAATGTTGAGCCAGTGTTGCATCACCTGCGTGTGTTGGGGCATGACAGTATCCATCCCCTTAGCTGGTTAACTGGCAACACCTGGCCTCGTGGTCCACCTTACCTGCCCTCGTGCCCACTGTACCCATCAACGACAAAATCTTACCAGTCTCCCCACGAACAAAATACCACAACCAAAAAAATTAAAATGGACAATATTCCACCAGCTGAAGGTTCTTCAGGTCATAAAAACTTTGTTAGATTAAGTGATGCTCCATCACCTGTATGGTAAACTGGTCCTCTGTTGTCACATAACATGTATACAGTATAGAAAGGGAGCGACGGTGTCTGATTGACTGATTCTCTAGCCATTGAGAGACGATGTTGTTGGTGCTATAATGTATTACTACTCTTCAACAACTACGTTATTAAGCGTGTATTTAGTATTTTAGGTTGAAAATAAAGAGATAAATCTTTCTGGAGTGAGGTGAGTCGCAAGTGAAAGACAACAGCACACGAGAGCCAAAACTTTTATTTCAGAGTGGAAATATAATGTAGATTACCGAATGCTACATAGGGTTAGGTTAGGTTAGGTTAGGTTATTAGGTTAAGTTATTGGGGTAGGTTGTTAGGTTAAGTTTGGTTAGGTTTTGTACCTCCAAGATGGTTGTCCCTGCTCACCTCCACCACACGTGCTTCTCTGCTCACCCCAAACATTCCTCATCATTAACTGCGATCTTCACATAGACAACCAGCAATAACATGGTTACTAAAACTCAATTCATGTCAAATTCAGCGACAACACATGTGTAGGCGGATGATGTAGGTTGTCGCTAATCAGAAACTCCCATTCATTTGATTCGTTGTAAGGGGAAAATCAGTTTTACGTAACTTCGCGTCTATGCCAATGTATTTCTTTTCATACGTCAGAAGTGAAATAATTGGGTCTGTTGACGTATTACCGTCAAAGTGAGGTGTAATTCAGAGGTGGGTGAGAGCAGGGGGTGAGGGTGAGCCTACGCCTTATATTAGTTTTCTGAAGAATGACAGGGGAGGAATGCGAGGAGTCTAACCTTACTGTCAACATGACATGACTGATTTGCCAGCACCACTATTTTTACATCTTGTGTAATTTATATTGCCTGGAAATATTCATGGCTGGTAAGGTCAAGTTACTGTCAGTGTGGAATGATATTGTAGACTGAAGAGGAATGTCCAGCAATCAGCTGTGAAGCCATATCTTGCATCTGTGAAATTATTTTAAAATCAACTTTATAAATCATATGGAACATCAGCTGGCTCTACATACAAATATAAACGTATCTTTTCACCATGTTCCACTTTGCTAGTCCAGTGTCTCAAGAGTTCTCCTTGCTTCCTCATTATCATTATCCCCTCGGTTCTCCGCCTCCCTCTCCCACTCCTCCGCTATACTAACAAACACACACTCACAAAATAAACGAGGGCTGGGCCTGTGACACGTCCAATATGTGTCGTGAGTGTTTAAGCTAGTGAGCGGAGACCATCTTCCCGCCCTTAGTGTCGGCGACCTCACTATGTTCGTGGCGGGAAGAATGTCGCCTTACATGTCTCCCCGCCCGTCATCGCCTACGGTAGAAGGCCGCGACGTAGTAGAAAAAGGAAGAAGAAAGGTTAGATTCGCAGCTCCTGGTGACTATTTCTCAGTAGGTGTATGTGCGGGAGTTGGTGGTTGCGGTGAGGTTATGTCCTGTTTTTGACGGCCAGACCGACTGGTGGACGCACCACGCTGTGTGTAAACAAACTAGCCTCCTCACTACGTATGTTTGCGCCTTAGTGGCCGCTGGTTTTTGCGTTTTGTAAGCGTAATTATCTTCTATGAGCGCGAGGTGCGAACACTGAGATCTTTCCATTAGTTAACCACGTCGATGTTGAGCAAAATAAGGCGGAAAAGACCCCCCCCCCTCCTTATCCATCCATCTACTGGTGATATAACAAAGCAAACAAAGTTGATTCAAAAGAAAACAAAACTGTGAATTACGATTAAAAATAATTCCTTATAGGCAAATAAAAAAAGTCCATTTAAAGCTTTTTGTTTGATAAAAGAAAAAGGGTCGCGCACCACTGGTAAAAAGGGGAAACACAAATAAACTAAGCAGTTGCGTGTGTCTGGCGGAGGAGGGGAAGAAGGAAGGAGAAAGAAAAGGAGGGAGGAGGGAAGACAGGAGGTTTCCGCGTGAAGACAAACAGTTCTTACTTACTACTTACTATGAAGAAATGGAAGTCAACATAATGAAACAGTGAACAACAACAAAACAAGGGAGCGACTGTCGAGGTTTTAGATATTTGTTAAAGAGAAAGAATACTGTTATTCAGGGGCATAATTTAGTATTATAGATCTGTGAACTAGGTGTTCTGATTATTTTCTAGTCCAAGCAGCAGTTATTTTGGCAAGTTTTGGAGGCTTTTCTTGTATATGTTGATGTATTATTTATGTAAGAATTTTCTACAGTGCATTCAATCATTTTTGTTATGATTTACTTACGTATTGTAAGCCTAGAACTAGATCATTCTAGAACTTTCTGGGCATATCTCGTTGTGACCTGCAATGCCTAGAAGGCGCTAGGATACTCTAGGCGTCTGAGGAGAGGTATATAAGCACGAGCGACCTGCCTTGGGGTAGGGTCGCCTGTTTCTGCTTTGAATGTGAAGAACAAACCTAGTGACAACTAAAGATAATATTGGTGTTCAAGTATTGTGGAACTGTTATGAGCGATATAAAGTGAAAAGACTAAAGAATTGTACACTGGTAGTGTGCTGACTACATATA